AGAAACTCGACCTCGGGGAGGAAGAACTCGCACTTCGACTACTTAGCGTACAACTGCTCCTTCCGCAAGACCTCAAAGACTTTGTGCAAGTGCTGCACGTGCTCCTCTTTCGTCTTGGAGAAGATCAAGATGTCGTCTAGGCAGACTACGACGAACGAACCTAGGAACTCGGAGAGGACGGTGTTCATGAGCGTCTAAAACGTCGCTGGGGCGTTGGTCAAACCGAACGGTAGAACCCTAAACTCGTACAACCCCTGCTTCGTACGAAACGTCGTCTTGTGCTGGTCCTCTGGAACTACACGAATTTGGTGGTAACCCGAGCGAAGGTCGATCTTTGAGAAAACTCTAGCGCCCTGCACCGCATCTAGAAGATCCTCTACTCTCGGCATTAGGAATCTGTTCTTAACAGTGGCGGCGTTCATTGCGCGGTAGTCTATGCACATCCGTAACCCCCCGTCAGGTCTTCGCGAGTCAAATGAAGTGAGAATGAAATCGAACTCACTGCAAAAATGAAGCTCGATATCGTTTTTAACTGAAGGTTTTTCAGGGGGTGCGCTTATAATTGAGGACCGGCCATAAGCGCATGGCTCCAGATAGAAGCGCCGGCGCTTTTAATAGGACGGCGCTACTATCCGGGGTGATACGGTACTTGCTTATGAGAGCTTTAGAGGAAAAAAAGTTGATATTGATGCACTAGCTTCAGTCCTAGTGCAACTTGCGTCAAATGTTATTATAGGTTCTTAGGCTACACTGAGTAGCACCAAGGGAGTACAACACTTTTAGGGTTGCTATTTGTATCCCTTGTTTCCCTTTTTTAGCCATTCCGTTGTGTTCCTACTTTGAGATGGTATTAGTTAGGTTCGTTTCCTAGCCTAACCTAGTCCGTCTTCGCGCCCTGCGCGCCCTAGCGCTCTCCGCACCCTCCGCGCTCTCCGTGCCCTCCGCGCTCTCCGTGCCCTCCGCGGCCTGCGCGTTCTCCATGCCCTCCGCGCCCTCCTCGCTCAGCGCCCTAGATCCCTCCACGCCCTCCGCCCTCTCGCGCCCTCCGCGCTCTCGCGCCCTCCGCGCCCTTAGCGCCCTAGCGCCCTCCGCGCCTAGCCTGCTCCTTCGCCAGTGCCCGTGCCCTAGCCCGTCGCCCCAGCTCGCGCCCTAGCCTGTCGCCCCAGCCCGTGCCCTGGCCTATCGCCCCAGCCTGCGCCCTGGCCTGTCGCCCCAGCCCGCGCCCTGGCCCGTCACCCCAGCCCTCGCCCAGGCCCGTCGCCCTAGCCCGCGCCCTGGCCCGTCGCCCCAGCCTGCGCCCTGGCCCGTCGCCCCAGCCCAGGAGGTAGCGTGCCCCGTAGGTAGCGCGCCCCGGGGGCAGCACGCCCCGCGGGCAGCGCGCCCCGCGGGTAGCGCGCCCTGCAGGCAGCACACCCTGCAGGCAGTGCGCCCCAGAGCGCTTTAGCGCCAGAAAATGAATAAACATATTCAACCCTAAAAAAAGAAGAGAGAAAAAAGAGGGGTTTAGGATGGGGGCCTGATGCGGAGATTCACTCGACAAAGGTAGTGAGCTAGACTACCGGGGGAGGGGGGGTAGGCACGAACTACGAAGAGTGATCGTAGCTTTGCTTGCGTTCCTTAGCACTTGCACATTCACAGGAGAAGTTGGCAAGAGTTTCACTAGCAAAGTTTGGAATTTCAGAATGGTAGTACAAGAAATGACAACAATGACTACATTAGGCCCCTGGCAACTCTGCAGCTAGCCTGGTCGACCGCCAGCACAGCTTGGTCAACTGCCTGTCAGCGTCATGTAAAGGAGCCACGCCAACACTGCTTAAAAGCGACTTGCCAACACTGCAGGTCGTCAGCGTGCCAACGCTACAGTAGAGGGCTGTCCAGCATTGCCCCGTAGAAGACAGCAATGCACATGCTCGCAGGTACGCGCAGACGATTGGCCCGACTTGCATTGATATGCATCCGTCGTCTGTTGTCTGCGCCTGACAAGCCACATCGACTACGGGATACTAGCCTGAAGTTGCCTTCGCCATCGCGACCTCGACGACGTTTGCGTGCCTCCGCAGAACTCGTCGAGCAGGTTACCACGTCGACCATTTCGACAACCACGTGCTCTGTGTGAGAATGAGGAATAAAGAAAATAGCAAGCAGGTGGGTACAAGTAGGAAAACCTAGAAGTGTTGTACCCCATATTGTCTACCCCACTACAGCCTACACAGTCTATAGCATAAGAGTTTGACACACCCCCATAGGCAAAGTGGGGGAGAACAAGAGGTCACAAGACCAGTCAAGCAAAGCAAAGCAAGGTCAGGGTGGATCACAACGTCACCACACAGTCCGAGCACAAGAGCAAGGCCACAAGGCTAGTTCACATGCAAGATCATATATAAAGGTAAACAAGCAAGTGCAAGAAGTGAGCAAGTGAGGCCAAGTAGGCACAAGACCTAGCATCGTACAGAAGCGCTGATGATCACAAGGCGGAAGTGCCTTGGTAAAGATATCAGCAGTGTTAGCCTCAGAGGCCACGTAAGCAAGGCGGAGCTGACCACGCTGCTGCAGCTGACGAGCAAGGAAGTAGCAAAGAGCGGTGTGCTTCGTTCTATGCTCCAGTCCGTGCTCCTGACATAAGGCCAGCATGGCCTTATTGTCTACGCACAGAACTGGAGGAGAACGAGGCGGCTCTCCTAGGTCAGTCAGCAGGTAGGTGAGCCAGCGTAGCTCCTGTGCAGCCATGGCCCCCGCGAAGACCTCAGCCTCACAGCTAGAGCCGAGAACAGAAGACGAGCGGGTAGACCGCCACGAAACAGAGCCGGAGCCAAGGCTAAAGGTGTAACCTTGTGAGGACTGCTGCGTAGCCTGGTCGTCAGCCCAAGAAGCGTCTGCGTGACCTGTGAGGACCACTCGACGTCGCCCTCCAAGCACTAGCCCCATGCCCGACGTACTGCACAAGTAGCGCACCACCCTCTTCGCTGCAGCCATGTGCTCTGGTCGGTGTCTCCCAGGAGCAACATAGCGTGCCAAGATGCTAAGAGGGTACGCTAGGTCAGGTCGTGTGCAGGTCATCAGGTACATGAGGCAGCCAACAAGCTTTGGGTACGGGCCACTCGGCTCTACGGACTCATCCGAAGGCAGAGCTGCGAGCGAGTGGCGAGTAGACAGAGGAGTGGCCTGAGGCGAGGAGTACGTGAAGTCGAAGCGCTGAAGGACCTGCTGCACCATGTGTGACTGAGTCAAGGTAATGGTGCACTATGCTCTGTCCCGGGTGATCTGCAAGCCAAGGTAGCTGCGCAATTCACCAAGGTCTGTGCACGTGTGTCTCTTCTGCAGCTCGGACTTCACATGGGCGAGTCCAGCAGTGTCAGCAGTGGCAAAGACCAAGTCTTCGACGTACACGATGATGTAGAACGGCGGCAAAGAGGTGTCGGTGCGCAGAAACAGCGACGTGTCGGCAATAGAAGGAGCAAACCCAAGAGCCGCAAGTGTAGTCCTCAGTGTATCGTGCCACTCACAAGGCTCCTGGCGGAGACCGTAGACTGGCCAAGGGAGGCTCCACTGGGTACCAGGAGGAAACGACCCAGTGAAGCCAGGTGGGCGGCGCAGCCAGATCTCCTCGTGCAGGCTGCCCTGCAGGAAAGCTGTGCTGAAGTCAAGAGAGTGAAGCTCGTAGTCGCGCTGAGCAGCTATGTGCAGCAGCACCCGAAGAGTGGTCATCTTCAGGGTGGGAGAGAAGGTCTGAAAGTAGTCAACTCCCTGCCGCTGACTGAAGCCTCTAGCCACGTAACGCGCCTTGAAGATAGGCGGAGAACCCGACGACCGCTTCACCCTGAAAATCCACATGCCACTGACGATGTTCGCCCCAGGTGGGGGAACCTCGTCAACGTAGGTGGACTTCCGGGAAGCCATCTCTGCGTTCATGGCTAACTCCCACTGTGAGGAGTAGGGACCCTCGATCGCCTCAGCGTACGATCGAGGAGTCGGGATGTCTGGTGCATCCGGGTCTCCCTCAGGAGCAATCACCGTGGACACGAGATAAGGCAAAGCAGTAGCAAAACACTGGAACTCCTCCTGCCTGTCCTCAAGGACGTCCGGGCTAAGAGCACACTCACCCCCGACAGACGGAGGACAGACAGATGCAGACTCAGCAACGAGATTAGCGGCGTAGTCTAGATGACGGCGAGCAGCAAAGTCGATAAGCTCAGCAACTAAGGCAGACGCAGCAGTGGACTCAAAGGAAGGGTTAGTGAAAACAATGGCCGGGAGACGCGTGATAGTAGAACTGGCAGCACGAAGAGAGTTAGACTCCAAGTCAGCAAGAATAGAAAGAGAGGACTCTGGAAGAGACGGCAACAGGACACGCAGAGGAGCAGTGGAAGGACGCAGTGCCATCTGGTGTGTACCCGGGACCGCAGGAGGACGCGGACGCTGAGCACGACTACTAGTGCGAGCAGCACGAACAGGCGACGCAGGACGAGACGCAGGCTCACGACGCTCAGCAAGACCTCCAGTAGGACCAGTGTAGGGAGAAGGAGCAGGTAGGGGGGAGGAGGCTGTAACTGTGACACCGACTGGACAGGCTGTGGACACTCTAAGGGAGGAGAAGGACCAGTAGAGGGCGGGAGACCAAGAACCTGCTCAAGGAGCGGAACGAAGTACGGCCTCGGCCACGCAGCGCCTCCAGAACCAGTACCCCCAAGCGGCAGCACCAGCGCTAGCAGCACCTCCAGCTCCAACAGCGCCAACTCTAGCACCCTCAGAAGCACCACCGCCAGCAGAACCACCAGCGCCAACACCCCCAGCAGCTCCAGCTCCAGCAGCACCAACTCCAGCAGGACCGTCAGCTCCAGTGCCGCCAGCAGCTCCAGCAGTACCTGACTCGATGCAGCTACCTGACCAGACTCAGTAGTTAGTGTGTACAGGCTCGACCCCGGCCGATGGGTAAACATGGCCAAGTGTCGGCCCGTCCGAGCACACGTGCAGTGGGTCACCCGCTGACTCGCAGGAGTGAACTAGTCAAACCCCCTATCCTGTAGATCAGCTCCACTCACCAAGTTCGTAGAGAACGAGGGGAGGTAGAGACCTGAAAGGGTGCCAGAGGGGGCTGCCGGACACGGTAAGATAGTGGAGAAGTGGGCAAGGACAGGACCCCTAGAGGGGTTTGCCAGGGAGACTGCAACCGGCCGACTAAGCGGCGTAAGCGTGGTGCGGTCTCGAAAGAAGGAGCGGGAAGCACCCGAGTCAAGGGTGAAGGTGTGTAAGGCTTGAGCCGACGTGGTACCTGAGAGGGCAGACTCACCAGCACCTGGGGCAGCAGACGCACTAGGACCTAGAGCAGCAGCCTCACCAGGACCTAGAGCAGCAGCCTCAATGCCCGGGTCAGGCGGAACACACAGGTAACAGTCACCCTCATTACTATTAGACACAGCATATATGGTAGCAAGAATAGCATCATAATCAAGATCAAAGATAGCAACCCCCGCCCTAGACAGCTCTCCCTAGCGAGGGATCTCAGTGGCGTCAGGGAACTAGTGACGCCACGCGTCCGTCAAGCGGCCGAAGCAGCGCTGGGTGGAGTGCGGGCCCCCGCACTGCTCACCAGCGCGGTCGCCGGTACGGAGGACGTAGGTGCAGGGACCAGTACCCCCACCTCGCTGACGCCCAGCGTACCACTCACGAAGCTGCTGGGGGGACAGGGTCTTAGGACTTCGCTGCTGCTGCTGGCGCGGACCACCACTGGACCCACTCCTCTGCGCAGAGCCGCGACCAGCTCCATCGCTGCCGCCGCCGCCTCCGCCACCTCCGCTCCCTCCTCCACCGCCGCCGCCTCCTCCGCCTCCACTACTGCCACCGACACCTCCACCCCCGCCACCACTCTCACCACCACCTCCACCCCCTCCACTGCCTCCACCACCACCTCCACCGCCCCCGCCAGCCCCTCCAGCGCCCTTGCCCCCCTTGCCCTTGCCGGTGCGGCGTCTCCCGCTAGGGGCAGACGCAGCGCCGACCGACTCAAAACCAACGAGGTCGGCCGCAGCAGCAGAAGCAAAAGAGGGCAAGAGGGGGGAAGGGGAACAACCCTTAAAGACGGGGGTGCGAGGGTCACCACGAGAGGCTCCTACAGCGACTATGCTCTTCTTTGCTGCTAGGAGGCGCTCCTCGAGGAGGTCAACGGTGAGTGTGGTGGGGCAAACTGAGAGGAAGTGGTCCCTGACTAAGCGAAGGGAGTCAGGGAGCCGGGAGACTATGTAGTAGAGGGTGATGTACATGGGGGGGGGGGATTCTTTGCACAGTACTCAGTAGGAAGTGCAGCGCGGTAGCGAGTGTCACTAGCGCGAAGGTGCGTAATGAGGTCAGTGACTGTGGGAAAGGCAGCAAGGTCAGGGAACAGGTACGGCAGCATGAGGCGGCTAAGAGCAGCAGTGGCAGGGGAAGAGTAGCGTGCAACTACAGCGTCGTACAAGGTCTTAGCACTCTTGTACTGACTAAAGTGCGTACGCTCAGTGGTCAGTAAGTGGCGACGCACAGCAAGACGGGCAGCAGCATCGCGTGTGGCCCACTGTGAGCGAACAGTGCTGTCAGCATCATTAGGCGGGGCAGGAGAGGCACCAGAGGTGAGATCGAAATGGGAGAGTCCGTCTGCCCTATCGCACTGTAGGAAAAGTTGCAGGTCATCGACCTTGACCTCGAAGTCAACAGCAGGACCCTCAGCATCAAAGGTAAGGACACTGGGGGTAGCCATAAGAGCAGTGGTCTAGCAGGGAGGGCTCTCACCAGTCCGGGTGGGTAGGGCCGGGGCGTGCCGGGAGGAGCAAGGCTGCAACAGCGGTGGCAGCGGCTCGGCAGTGGCAGTGGCAGCTCGACGGCAGCTGCTCGGCGGCTTGGCTGCTGGGCGGCTCGGAGGCTCGGCGGCTCGGCTCCTGGGCGGCTCGGCGGCTCGGCGGCTCGGCTGTTGGGGTCCTCGGCGGCTCGGGTGCTGTGCGGCTCGGCGGCTCGGCTGCTGGGCGGCTCGGCGGTGAAGGGGCCGTGAAGGGCGGCGACGGGGCCGGCAAAGGCGGCGACGGGGCCGTGAAAGGGCGGCGATGGGGCTTCTAGGGGCGGCGATGGGGCCGCGAAGAGCGGCGACGGGGCCGCTAGGGGCGGCGACGGGGCCGCAAAGGGCGGCGAGGTGGCCACGAAGGGCGGCGACGGGGCCTCCAGGGGTGGCGACGGGGCCGCTAGGGGCGGCGACGGGGCCGCAAAGAGCGGCGACGGGGCTGCTAGGGGCGGCGACGGGGCCGCGAAGGGCAGCGAGGTGGCCGCGAAGGGCGGCGACGGGGCCTCCAGGGGCGGCGACGGGGCCGCTAGGGGCGGCGACGGGGCCGCAGAGGGGCTGCAAGGGGCCTAGAGAAGCGGCGACGGGGCCTAGAGGGGCGGCGACGAGGCCGCGAAGGGCCGTAAGGGGCCTAGAGAAGCGGCGACGGGGCCGCTAGGGGCGGCGACGGGGCCTAGAGGGGCGGCGACGGGGCCTAGAGCGGCGGCGACGTTGCCGCGAAGGGGCCGTGAGGGGCCAAGAGGGGCGGCGACGGGGCCTAGAGGGGCGGCGACGGGGCCGCGAAGGGGCCGTGAGGGGCCTAGAGGGGCGGCAACGGGGCCGCAAAGGACGGCGACGGGGCCGCTAAGGGTGGCGCGAGGGGCCGTGAGAGGGGTCGCTAAGGGAGCGCGACGTGAGGGCGGCCTACAGGGCGCGCCTCGGGTAGGAAAAAAAAATCATGTTCAGTGGTGGGCCCTGAGAAGCGTTCCCACAAGGGAACCTGCTCTATACCATGTGAAGAATGAGGAATGAATGAACTAGCAAGCAGGTGGGTACAAGTAGGAAAACCTAGAAGTGTTGTACCCCATATTGTCTACCCCATTACAGCCTACACAGACTATAGCATAAGAGTTTGACACTCTGTTCGACCACCACTGCCTCTGGTCGACCACTAGGTGCCTTTGGTCGACCACAGGTCTTGTCGAGCTACCCTCTGGTCCGTCGACCAGAACTGTCAGTGGTTGTGACCGAGCTCCGTCTTGCTTACGTGGCCTCTCGGGCCTACACTGCTGATATCTTCACCAAGGCACTTCCGCCTTGTGATCATTAGCGTTTCTGTACTGTTCTAGGTCTTGTGCCTACCTTGCCTTACTTGCTCACTTTTTGACTTTGCTTGTACTGTGATCTATATATCTATACCTGCATGCTTTCACTTGCTAGGTTTTGATCACTGTCCTGTTTGTTCTATGCTATATAACTATGCATGTGAACTGGCCTTTTGGCCGTCTGCTTGCGCTCAGAATGCGTGGTGACGTTGTGATCCACCCTGAACTTGCTTTGCTTTTCTTGACTGGTCTTGTGACCCCCCTTTGCTCTCCCCCACTTTGGGGTGTGTCAAACTTATACTCTACAGTTTGTTAAGGCTGTAGTGGGGTAGTTACTATGGGGTACATTAATTTAGGTTTTCCTACTTGTACTCACCACTTTTCTAGTGCACACACACTTGTTGATTCTGACATTACGTGCCAGAAGCAATTCACCTGTCAGCTTCAAAGTACGCGGAGCAACTGGGCGAGCGATTCAAAATTTCACCCGCACCACTCTCGACCCCCTACTATTCGCCTAGCACCACTACAAACCAGACAACAAACTCATGTCGCACATAGGACTCCAATTCTACCAGCAGCAACAGGGCTACATGCAGTTTGCCTTCGTCATTTGCCGACCCGACCTTTCATACATCTCCATCCAACCGGCATAGTACTCACGCAAACTAGAAATTCAACCTCACTGGGTACGTGAACGCAGATCACGCCGCTAACCCTGCCAATCGACGATCACGAATGAGCTTTGTCTTCCGCCTGGAGCCAACAGGCCCAATCTCCTGGAATTCCCAAAATCAGGAATGGTTTGCCCTGTTGTCAGCCGAAGCAGAGTGTATCGCCGCAACTACTACAGTTCGCGAAGGACTCTATCTGCTGGAGCTTCTTTGGGAGGCGAAAATCCCAACATCGTTACTACGAGAACCGGAGCATGATCACAGGATCGCAAACAAGCCAGGCTTCGTGAACTAACGAAGCACATCACGCTGCGATACTTTTCCTTGAAGGACGAAATTGACCAGGGCAAGGTTGACCTGACATACTGCCCTACCACTGAGATGGCAGCCGAATTTCTCACCAAGCGACTGCCACGTCAGCAGTACCAGCACTGCCCCAACCTCACCAAACTAGTCAAGCGAGTCAGCTCCCAATACGTCCACGAATGAAGGGTGGCGTTGAGATATGAAATTAAACGAGAAGGCATTCCTGTACACTGCAAGAGTCAACTCTACCGAATATGAAGTCGAGGATTCAGAAGGGTCGTAGCGACATTCCATCAAAGCTGATGTAAGCAAAACATCTGAAATGGAACTGGCGAGAATTGGTTTGAAATGGGTTCCTGCGTCGCACGGTTTGAATTTCACCGTAATAAGAAAATGTACCCCTTACTGTACATGGCTAGCTAGGACCTTTCATATTCCTTGTATGTCATTAATACACCAATGTATGCCTTTGCTATAATTAGTTCAGTCGTTTGCATTCACTCCGACCTCCGCTGCAATATCACCTGCAATCAACCCTGAGCCAATCCTGGCCTAAGTCCTTTTTAGGATTGTAACACAAATGACCACGGTGTGCAGCTGGGGGAGCAGCACAAGGGAGAAGGGCAGCTCCACATCCTCCTCTTGCACTGCCAACTCGTCCTTCTTCACGCCTACAACATCCATCCTCTCCTCCGCAAAGTTAGCAAGGAGATGCATACAAAGTGCGTCGAGCTCCTCTTGAAATTTGTCGCTTTGCCCTTCCATGCCTGATCAGAAAACCGGATCGAGGGGGACTTCAATAATCACATGGAACTGGTTTACTTACCCAACTCATTTGTTTTGTCGTCGCCCCCACACTTTTTTAAAGGCTGCGGTTTTTTAGAAAAACTTCGCGTGTAAACTCACTCTGATTACCATGTGTAAGGGTTGAAGGATCGAGTTCTGTTCTTACTAATGAATCCTGATTACAAAAAAGTGGCTATTTATAGGCACAACAAAATGTAGGTGACACATGTGATACTAGAAGGTACTGGGCCTTGGGGAACCGTTGGGGTCGGATCCTTCCCGAATTTGGTAGACGATATTCAGACGAATTCACGCGCTCGCACAGTCACACGGAAATAACCAAAATGCCACAAGATACGGTGCACGCAACCTAAATCGGTGCTATAATTACATTAAATATGGTAAAGCAACGATTCTAAGAAAAAGAGCAAAAGCAAGCATAAGAAAATATAATGAAGTAAGATAATGCAAGGTATATATGGGTAAACATAGCTGATGTACTCTCACATTGAAGGCTAACTCCGCCAATATCTTCACGAAGGCACTTCGACCTTATAATCATCTTTGGTTGTGCACTTAGCTAGGCCTTGTTCCAGTAGGCTCTCAGCTGTTAGCAGGCCCTCATATATGTTTCATGGGACGCTGATGCCTCAAGGCAAATCCTCATAATCTGAAAAGAGACTCTGATTTTTCAGGCAGGAATTTCTCGAGACCCTAAAACCCTTTATGGTGGTGTTTGGGTTCAATCCTGAAGGCTATCCTCTTGATGGAGGCAAATACTATTCTCTTTAAGAACGACCCAACCTAAGCCTTGTACCACAATGGGTACATGCATGGCAATCGAGGCAACAAGCCTTGTACTATGGGTTTGTCGTGCGTTAGAGCTATACCATTGTGTAGGTTATCAACCAGCAAGGCACAAGGTTGGAATCCTTTGTACATTGTTGTCAAATGTGAAATACGGCAGCATTGTCTCAAAGTAAAGTAAGCAGAATGATCTAGACTAGTAAGAAAAAGAGTATAAGTAGGAGTGTCGAGAAGAGTGATATACTCTATATTAGCTACCTCATTGTAGCTAAATATGACTAACATTGATACAAATCTAATTTGACAGACTCCCAAATGCTAAGTGAGGGGCATTAAACCAAGCAAAAGAGACACATGGTTACATGACCAGTCAAGAATAGCAACAAGGCAAGAGACGCAACTCAGGGACCTCTAAGACAAATGGCGACAAGGCAAGTTCAAGCCTTCATTTAAGTACATACGCAACAGAATAAGCAGAGCAAAGACAAGAGGCAAGTCTACAACAGACAAGGGCCAGTCTAAAAAAGGCCAAGCTACGAAAAGAACCTATAGTGATCACCAGACGAGAGGGACCTGGTGAAGTGTCAGAACATTATAGCTTATGCTTTTGTGTAGGCTGTAGTGGGGTAGCCCATATGGGGTACAACCCAATTAGGGTTAGTACTTGTACCCAACTATTTCATAGTTCATTCATTCTCGTTTCAATTATCACATGGTATCGAGCAGGTTCCCTCGTGGGAACTGTTCCTAGGGCCCACCAATTCGCCTTTTTTTTTTCCTGCCCAGAGCGCGCTCAACCCTAGCCCGAGTCGCGCTCCCCCTTTTCTCGCCCCGTTGCGCCGCCCTAGCAGCCCCGTCGCCTGCCTTGCGGCCCTCGCGCCGCCCTTCCTGGCCCCGACCCGACGCCCTGCGACCTCGTCCCCTACCCCGCGGCCATTGCCCCGCCCTTTCCCGGCCCCGATCCGCAGCCCCGCGGCCTCGTCGCCTACCCAGCGGCCCTCGCGCCGCCCTGCGGCCCTGACGCCGCCCTTACCTGCGGCCTCGCCACTTACCAGCAGCCCCGCCACCTACCTTTGCGGCCCCGGCACCTACCTGCTGGCCCCGCCACCTACCTGCGGCCCCGCCACCTACCTGCGGCCCCGCCACCTTCCTGCGGCCCCGCCACCTACCCGCGGCCCCGCCACCTACCTGTGCGGCCCCGGCGCCTACCTGCGGCCCCGCCACCTACCTGCGGCCCCGCCACCAACCTGCGGCCCCGCAACCTACCAGCGGCCCCGCCACCTACCTGCGGCCCCGCCACCTTCTTGCGGCCCCCCACCTACCCGCGGCCCCGCCACCTACCTGTGCGGCACCGGCGCCTACCTGCGGCCCCGCCACCTACCAGCGGCCCCGCCACCAACCTGCGGCCCCGCCACCTACCAGCGGCCCCGCCACCTACCTGCGGCCCCGCCACCTTCTTGCGGCCCCCCACCTACCCGCGGCCCCGCCACCTACCTGTGCGGCCCCGGCGCCTACCTGCGGCCCCGCCACCTACCTGCGGCCCCGCCACCAACCTGCGGCCCCGCCACCTACCAGCGGCCCCGCCACCTACCTGCGGCCCCGCCACCTTCTTGCGGCCCCCCACCTACCCGCGGCCCCGCCACCTACCTGTGCGGCCCCGGCGCCTACCTGCGGCCCCGCCACCTACCTGCGGCCCCGCCACCTACCTGCGGCCCCGCCACCTTCCAGCGGCCCCGCCACCCACCTGCGGCCCCGCCACCTACCTTTGCGGCCCCGCCGCCTCCTCTCAGCGGCCCCGCCGCCTCCTCTCAGCGGCCCCGCCGCCTCCTCTCAGCGGCCCCGCCGCCTCCTCTCAGCGGCCCCGCCACCTCCTCTCAGCATCCCCGCCGCCTCCTCTCAGCGGCCCCGCCGCCTCCTCTCAGCGGCTCCGCCGCCTCCTCCCAGCGGCCCTGGACGCCGCCCTCTCAGCGGCCTCGCCGGACCGCCCAGCAGCCGGGCCGCCCAGCAGCCGAGCCGCCCAGCAGCCGAGCCGCCCAGCAGCCGAGCAACCGAGCCGCCGAGCCGCCCAGCAGCCGAGCCGCCGAGCCGCCCAGCAGCCGAGCCGCCCAGCTGCCGAGCCGCCGAGTCGCCCTGCGACCGAGCCGCCCGAGCCGCCCTGTCCGGTAAGAGCAACACCTCTTTCTCAGCACTGCCCTCACCCTACTGTTTGCGCTGCTAGTCTACTGCTGTCATGGCTACCCCTAGTGTCCTCGATTTTGACGCTGAGGGTCGGGCCATTGACTTTGACGTCTGGATAGATGACCTGCAGCTTTTCTTACAGTGCGATAGGGCAAACGGTCTCTCTCTCTTTGACGTCACCTCTGGTGCCTCTCCTGCCCCTGGTGCTGATGCTGACGCCACTGTTCGCTCACAATGGGCCACGCGCGATGCTGCTGCACGTCTTGCTGTGCGTCGCCACCTGCCTACCTCTGAGCGTGCGCACTTTAGCCAGTACAAGAGTGCTCAGACCTTGTACGCCGCTGTAGTTGCACGCTACTCCTCCCCTGCCAGTGCTGTACTGAGCCGCCTCATGCTACCGTACCTCTTTCCTGACCTTGCTGCCTTTCCCACAGTCGCTGACCTCATTACGCACCTCCGCACTAGTGACACTCGCTACCGCGCTGCGCTTCCTGCTGAGTTCTGCACCAAGAACCCCCCCCCCATGTACATCACTCTCTACTACATAGTCACCCGCCTCCCTCACTCCCTTCGCGTAATAAGGGACCACTTCCTCTCAGTCTGTCCCACCACTCTCACTGTTGACCTCCTCGAGAAGGCCCTCTTAGCAGCGGAGAAGAGCATAGTTGTTGTAGGAGCCTCTCATGGTGACCGCGGACCCCCATCTTTGAGGGGTGTTCCCCCTCCCCCCTTTTGCCCTCTGTTGCCTCTGCTGCTACGGCCGACCTCGTTGGGCTTGAGTCGGTCGATGCGGCGTCTACCCCTAGCGAGAGACGCCACCCTGGCAAGGGCAAGGGGGGCAGGGGCGCTGGAGGAGCTAGCGGGGGCGGTGGAGGCAGCGGTGGAGGCGGCGAAGGGGGTGGCAGTGGCGGTGGGGGTGTTGGCGGGGGTGGAGGTGTCGGTGGCAGCAGTGGAGGCGGAGGCGGCGGCGGTGGCGGTGGGAGCGGAGGTGGCGGAGGTGACGGCGGTGGAGGAGGCGGTGGCAGAGGAGATGGAGCTGGTCGGGGTGGCGCTGCGCAGAGGGTCGGCTCTATTGGTGGTCAGCGCCAGCAGCAGCAGCAGCGCACTCGTGACATCCCCCCCCCCCTCAGCAGCTCCGTGAGTGGTACGCTGCACGCCAGCGGGGTGGGGGTACTGGTCTGTGCACCTACGTCCTCCGCAAGGGCGACCGCACGAGTGAGCAGTGTGGGGGTGCGCACCCCACCCAGCGCTGCTTCGGCCGCCTGACGGACGCTTGGCGTCACCAGTTTCTGGAGGCCATGGAGATCCCCCGCTGGGGTGAGCTATCTAGGGCGGGCGTAGCTATCTTTGATCTTGACTTTGATGCTATTCTTGCTGCCATGTATGCTGTGACTATTAGTGATGAGGGGGAGTGTTACCGGTGTTTCGCGCCCGACCCGGGCATTGAGACTGCTGCTCTAGGTACTAGTGAGGCTGCTGCTCTAGGTGCTAGCGAGGCTGCTGCTCTAGGTGCTAGTGCGTCTGCTTCCTCAGGTACTGGTGAGTCCGCGCTCTCAGGTACCGAGTCGGCTTCGGCCTCCCTCACCTTCACCCTTGACTCGGGGGCGTCTCGCTCCTTCTTTCGAGACCGCATCACACTAACGCCGCTTGGTCGGCCAGTTGCGGTCTCTCTGGCAGACCCCTCTGGGGGTCCTATCCTTGCTCACTTCTCCACTGTCCTCCCGTGTCCGGCGGCTCCCTCTGGCACCCTGTCTGGTCTTTACCTCCCCTCGTTCTCTACGAACTTGGTGAGTGGCGCTAACCTTCAAGATGGGGGAGTTCACCAGTTCACTCCTGCGAGCCAGCGAGTGACCCACTGCACGGACGCTCGGACGGGCCGACACTTGGCCACGTTTACTCGTCGGCCGGGGTCGAGCCTGTACACACTGTCCACTACGTCTCCTTCT